TAAAGCATCTCATTAAAAAGTTAAACCCTAACTCCCAGAAGATGGAGACATGTGGGACATGAAGAACTCCATGGCTCCATTTGAAATCAAAGAAGGGAACAAGAAAGCAACTGGAGTTAGGAGGGCTTATTATCTGAGCAGCAGACCTGCATAGGAAAAGGAGGCCATGGGTATCTAACTGTGAGGAGAAGAAGTTGGGGACAAAATGTAAAAATGGAACGGCGCTGTACTCACATGGTGAAGGAGCCGGGGGGAGCAGACACTCGCCGCAGGTCCGCAGCTTGCACCTGATGGATGCTAGAGGCAGCAGGGAAATGAGCAGCGAAGACAGAGTCAGCAGGACAGCGTGGACAGACAAGGAACAGGCCAGGGAGAGAAAGAGAGACACACAAAGTTTAAACAGAAATTAAATGAGTGCGTCACCAACAGTGAATGAAAGAAAAAGGAAACTCAAGCCAGCCACGGAAATAATCCAGAAAAGCCGGTGGTACGGGAGCAATGAAGCCGACAGGACACATGGAGAGGGCTGGTTCCAGGAAGCCACAGACTACAGCGCAGAGCCAGCACAGGAGGCAGGCTGCGGGCACAGACAGGTGACCAAGGCGCCCCTTCTCCAGGTCAGCTGAGATACCATGGGGAGCAGGCGCACGCCCACGTCAGACAGTGCCAGCGGGCAGGTCAATCCCCTTTGAGGACATCAGTTAGAGTAATCCTTTCCCCGAGCCCTCATGACTCCCCGGCTCTGTGGAACACTAGTCCCCAAAAGACAGAGTCAAAGAGACCTTCAACTTCCTTCACTTAAGCAGCACAGGCTTTTGAAGAGCTCCAGACATGGTACCAAGAAAGCCTAACTTCATCATTGTGGTGCCGTAACTCCACCCACATCTGGATACAAACCTGAAACTGTAGACCCCCGTTCCTTTTCTCCTTTCTTTTGCAAAGGAGAGAGTCTGCAGTAGCTATTAGAAAAGACGAAGTGTAAAATTTAAGAAATTAAGCCCCAAACGTCCCTTCTACATTGTCATTCTCTCCACTTTCTTATTGAAAGATTTTTACTATAACTACAAGAGGCACAGCTCCAGGGTCTCTCTGTTCTGCTGGGCGTATCACCTCTCCTAGAAAGTTACCCCTGGGTTAACTCTAGCTCTATCTGTGGTATCTGTGAAGCAATATTACTTCTACTCAATAATACTTCACAGCCCAGGACGATGGAATCCAGTTGCCCAATTCAAGGTTCACTAACCAGATACCTGCATTTGGATAAAATGATGATCTTTTAGAATGTAGTTTTCATTACTAGTGAATTTAATGGTAATAGCTGAAGACTTCCCTGTACAGGACACCAGTAATTTTCAATTTCTGATCCCCTTCAATGGTACCTTACACACAGAGAACACAAGCAAATGTATCTGGCTATTGTGTTACAAAACATGAGTATGAGTATAGGTAATGCTCCTCTACCATTTGAGGGGAAGACAGCACTGTAGTTTGTACTCTGTGTAGATTCATGTCATGATAAAATGGTACACACTCCTGTAACCCAAGGGAGGTAGTGAACATGGTGAGGCCTAGTATTTTAGTTGGCATGCAGTGATAAGAAACGGGATTATTTTAAATCAAGAAATCATTTTTTAGCAAATGCTTTTTGTACAAGGATCTGGTGGCATCATAAAGGCTACAACTTAACTATTTCTCACAGGAATTCCAGCTTCCACACAAATTGATCATAAAAGTATTCAGTATTTGCCTTGACTTTTAACAAAATGTAGTGAAAGCATTCTATATTATATTTATATTCATGAAACTTTAGGTTTCTATTCTTTTAGTAATAATTCCTGAGAAATGTAGCAGACATAGCCTCATAAATGTGATCCATGTGTGTCACTGACTCCACTGACTCGATAGTAGCCATGTCACGGAAACTGTGACAGGCACTGGGAACCGAAGATGAAAATCTTCTGTCCTCCCAACAGAACAGAGAAGAGAGACAAGTCAGCCAAAAATTACTCGCTGTTTTAGTAACGGTGTGTTGGAAGCATGCAAGAGCACCTATGAGGAGCACCAGGAAGTGCAAAGTGCATCTAACAGCAGAAGTAGACAGAGGAGGGCGCTAAGGGAAGGTGGTGTTTCAGTGGAGTCCTGAACTGAGAGAGAGAGAGAGAGAGAGAGAGAGAGAGAGAGAGAGAGAGAGAGACAGAGACAGAGACAGAAAGATGTAAAGGAGGCAATGAAGTTTCTGCAAGGTGTAAAGCATTCAGATGAAGCAGACAGGCTACTGTAGCTCTA